AGGTCTAAGGAATTCACTCTGCAGAGGCAATGTTTAGGATTGGTTAGGAACCAGCTGTGTACAGATACGAAGTTGTGTGCAAGGGCAAAGACCCTGTGGCAGGAAGGTTGAGCTTCTGGGGCACCGGTGGGAGGGGTTGGGAAAGGCCACAGTGGTTGGAGAAATGAGAGGAAGGGGAGGAAGTCAGAGACTTGGGGGCTGCCAGGCAGCCTAGCGTGGAAGTCACTGTCACGGTTCAAATGCTAAACTAAGACCAGTGGGCACTGGTGTGGGTGTGGATGTGGGCAGAGATGCAATCTAATGTGCCTCTTCAGGGCTGGCTTCTAAGGAGCCAGGAGAAGGTGGCCATGGAAGGGCTGGAGCCCCATCACCAGGCTGGCCTTGAGCCAAGCTCATAAACCCAGCCTGGAACTCTGGCCAATATGAATAGCAGGAGAAGTGCCTCCCCACTGTTCCAGAAGCTTCTTAATCCACCAGGGCCTTGAAGGGAGAGGCAGAGATGCCCAGAGGGGAGCTTTTGAGGGATGCTATTTTGCATCTTAATTGCATGCTAAGCAGGCCCGTGGGCAGGGCCAGCTGCAGAACATTAGTAGCCACCAAACTGTGGTGACTCAGGCCTTGGGGCCTTAAAATATTCATGTTCCTCTGCCTGTGGAATTCAGAGCCTGGGAGGGAGGGTGCAGCACTAGAAAGTGGAAATAGGGACCTGTTGGAAGCAGCTGGGTGGAAGGTGGGAAAGGTGGATGAGGTCCTGAGGAGGTCCTGAGGCCTCACTCTGTTCCCTGGTTCCGTACCATCCCAGCTCCGTGTGGATACTACCATCTTCCTGGAAGGGCTTTGCCACTGGGGCCCAGAGCCTGCTGTCTGGGGCTCCTGCTCCTTTTGGGTCCATGCGAGGACAGAATCTAGTTTCTAGTTAGGGCACAGGAGTGTGGGAGTCCTAGAAGTGTTTCCTGAGCTGGGGCAGGTGCAGACACAGTGTCGGAGCAATCCGGAAGGCAATGGGGTTGTGTCGGATCCACCCCCTTCAGCCAGCTCTTGGAAGAAGCCAGCTCTGTCCCTCGAAGAAAGAATTGAAAGAAATGGGCCATATGCCTGCTGCTCAGAACACCATGAAGCTTACTGGAGGTGGCTCTTAACCCCGCACCCGCCCAGTCCCAACTTCTGGGTGTTCCAAGTAGATATAGCAGTTATCAGCGCCCTCTATGGGACACATGCCCCTCTGACCCAGGGGAAGCTGCCTGGGACCCCGAAGCTCCAGGATACAGACAGGGCTGGGACTGAGGAGGAGGAGAGCCAGGGAAGCGGGGCTGTGTGGTCTCCCCCTACCCACAGATAACATCTGGGGGTGCAGTGCAGGACTTAAGTGATGAGTGACTCAGATCCGGGGACTTTTTCACAAGGTGAGAGGGAGTCGATGTTTCCAGCTGGGCTGCTTGCCCTGTCTGCTGAGAAGACTGGCTGGGGATGCCTAAGCAGAGGTGCCTGGGAGAGCTCTCGGGAAGGCAGATCTTGGGAAGAACTTCCTGGAGGAGTGTCTGAGGACTGAGGCAGGGAGGACGGCCACAGGAGGAGTGAGCCGGGACATGCTGCTCCTCCCCCATGGAGAATGGCAAGTTTGGGAAAGGAGCAGGGCTAGGGCAGTGCCGCTCTGCTCAGAGATGCAGCTAAGTGGTGTGGCTGGGGTGGCAGAGGGGCCCACGGCGGCTCTAGAAACCCTAAGAAGCCCCGAGGGGGACAGGAGTGGGTGGTTGGATGGAGCACTAGTGAGCGAGGGCTTGGAACGGAGCAGGGGCCAGGGGAGTCTGACTTCTTCACAAAGGACGCGGCCTTCCCTCTCTGCCTTCCTCCTTGTCTCGTTTTGATTGTTTCTTGTAGTTACCATCTTTTCCAGGCAAGGAAGAAGGCCATGAGTCCGTCCATAGTGGTCTGGATGTCACTGGACTCCCTGGGTCTTACTGGCTCTTGCTAAGAGCAACTGAAGCCTCAGAATCCAACAAAACCCCAGCCCGGAGCAGGAGCAGGAGGAGTGTGAGGCAGAGGGCGGAGCCTTGAAGCACCCTCCCCCATAGCTTCTTCACTATTCGCCCCAGAAGCGAGTCCGGGTACTTAGTGTAGAAGGAGGAGGGCTTGGGCAGGTTGCATAAGTTTTGCTTCCACTCTGGGCCCCTTAACTGCTCCTTGTGCGGCATAGGCAAGCACGGTGATTTCTCTGGTTCCCTCGTCTGCAAACTGTGAGTAGTGAGCGGACTGGTTACCTAACGCTGCAGAAGGAACTCCTCGACACTCAGCAGCTGAAACTCACACACAGTGGTTACCTTAATTCCTGGGGGCTGGGGTTCGGGCCCAACTCAGGCAAGCCCCTGCTGGACTCTCACCGAGCTGCTGCCCCAGTAGAAGGCCACACGGGAGAAGAGTCCATAGGACTCAGCTTCTCAAAGGCTGTGAGGTGGGTCTCAGGTCCCTGCTGCATCTGGCCAGGACTTTCCTCAGTTTCTGGTGACGTGGATGCTGCAGCCAGCTTTATCAGAACAAGAGCGGGAAGAGTCGGTGGCGAGGTGGGGGTGAGGGAGGAGGAGGGGATAGAGAGAGAGACTCTCACATGTACACATGCAAGTAGGAAAGACATTGTTGTCTCTTAACCTGGTCGTGGAGCTGACAGGCGGTCTCCTTTGCCCTCTTCTCCTCATCAGACACAAGCCATCATGCCGAGTCCCTCAGAGGGCCCAGGAGAGGACCGAAGGACATGAGGACCCTTGGCAACCAGAACACAGTGCTACTGGTTTTTTAGGGAACTGCTAAAAATTGCCAGAGGGCTTAGCCTGGAGCTGGTGCCTGGCACCTGCTCAGTACACCGATGTCCTTGTGAGAAAGCCAGGCTGGACCAAGACAAAACAGAAACCAAGGCTGCTCGCCAGTTCTACCTGTTGGCTCAACGCCCCTGGGAGAGTCCACATGCCACTTCTCTATCTCCAATCTGGTCCAGCCCCTCCCCCTCCCTTGAACCCCACTGAACATCACCTTTTTTCTTTCACCCTAGACAGGTCTACAGCGTTTTGAAGTTTACAGATTTCTTAGAAATGACAACGAAGGGTATGTACGTATGTATATATATATATATTACCTGGGAAGGAAAACTGAGAAGTTTACCTCCGTAGCAAATAAACAGAGCTGTGACTGGTGTTTCAGGATTGACGCAGCTCTTTTATGTACTTTTGACAGTTTCAGCTTGTTCCTGACAGCTACAAGGTTTCTCTCCCTCCAGAAAAATTGGGGGAGGGAGTCACGTGATACCTTCCTACACAGAGTGCACGGCTCACGTGAAAGATGAGGAGATTATAATTCAGGGTAGCTAGGGCCCTGGTCCAAGGTCACAAAAATTGTGGAACCGAGAATGTGAGAGACTGCGCACAACCTTTGTAACTCATTTACTCCTTCGTTCATTTATTAGAGACACAGCTTTCAGTCCCTGTGAGGGGCCACTCTCTGAATGCGGGTACTGGGGTCCACTGAACGAGCCCTTGGATCAGCCCTAAAGAGCTTTAATGTCCTTCTCCTCCAGATTGGCAGTATCTTTAAATTAAAGTCCACTTTACCCGAGTCTCTTCTCCTTGCTTCTGCTGCTAGGCATGGGGCTGTATCTAGGGAGGGTTCTGGAGTCATTGCTTTGAGTGGAAGGTAACAGAAATGACCCAAGATTCCAGGAGAGAGGGAGCTGATGAGATACAGTAGTTGGGAAGCAGGTGGCTAAACATGAACTGCCATGAAAAATGGGGACCAATGTTTATGGACCGAGGCAGTGCTTGACCCTTCCCCCCCGGGGTCCTTCTCTACCCGGCTAGCACCCAGCCTCTACCCTCCATGGCCCTTCAGGAGTTAAACCCAGGCTGCTGCCTTCCTGCCCACTGAGCCAGGTGATGGGATTGTGCTTAATGGTAATTTGCAAGAGTTTGGTCAACTAGAAATACATAAGGAGATGGGAATATGAAAATGCCCTGGGAGTTTGTACAATTGATATATTGTGGCTCAGCCAGCTGTTAACTCCACCGCAGGAGAGACGGCAGGAAGAACTGCAACCAGCCTCGCATTTGTGGTCTAAACCTTTGCACTGGAGAAGTTGAGGGAGTCCGCTGTGTCTCCAGGAATAGCCCACACTGCACTGCCCAGGCAATTCTTCAGCTCAGGACACTGATGTTCTAGGCACTCTGCTAGGCACTAAACATGGGTGCCTGAGTTCTCCATCCTAGAATGTGAGAACAGTCCATGAGTACTCAAGTCTGGGAGGAGACATACTGGGAAGGAAATAAGGCATTAATGGGGTTCAGAGAAAGAGAGGGGAGGAGAGAAGGAGAGAGAGAGAGAGAAAGAGAGAGAGAGAGAGAGAGAGAGAGAGAGAGAGAGGCTTGGAAGAGGAGAGCCTTAGGGGATTCTAGATGAATAGTTGATGCCTTAACTAATTCTAAGTGGCTTGTAAGTGTAGCCATCTCTCTGTTTGACCACATCTCATTCCAGTTACTAGCTGTGCATCTTTGGGGAAATGACCTAACCATTCTGAGCTCCAGATGTCTCACCCACAAAGGGAGACTAACCATCCCTGCCACAGAACTGTGTGAGGTAGCGCACATCCCTGTCAGCTCTAAAATGGTCTGTGCGTGTGGAATGCTCTGGCTACAGTAGAAACAAGCAGCATCCACTCCCCTTTTCCTTTCCTGTGTCAAATTGGCATCAAACTTCTTTGTGACTCAAGGGCACCTCATTCATGGTTTGCTATGCAGGGCCTAACAGGGGGAGACTGCGGCCCTGGTGGGAAAGGGCTGAAATATTTGAATAGGAATTGGTGGAAGCTTAGAAATGTTAACAGGAAGTAGACACGGTGTGACTACTTAGAGGTTGTGTGCCAGTGAGTGAGTTCATCTGAAGAGACTCAGAAGCCACTGCGTGGGGCCTGGCCTCAGCAGGTGTTGGGGGTTTGAATGAGAACAGCCTCCACAGGCACATGTGTTTGAATACTTGGTCCCCAGTGGGTGGAACTGTTTGGGAAGGATTAGGAGGTGTGGCTGTGTTGGAGGAGGTGTGTCGCTGGGGGCAGGCTTTGAGGTTTCAAAAGCTCATGTCAGTCTCCATGTGCTCTCCGCCTCCCAGGTGTGGCTCAAGATGTGAGCTCTCAGCTGCTGCCCCAGATGCCTGCCATCTGTTATCCTGGTTCTGCTGCCGCGGACTCTGATCCTCTGGAACTGTAAACTCCAAATAAACTTTTTTAAAAATACGTTTTCTTGGGCGTAGTGTCTTATCACGGTAATAGAAATTAACAAATACATCAGGCTTCGGGGTTGTCTTGCTTCATTCTCCCCCAAGGACCCCCCATGCAGTCCCAGTCAGAGGGGCTTCTGGTTCTGATTCTGATATTCCAGAACAGAAACCCATCCAGAGAAGGACCCTGGCTCTTGGCCCTGTTCCTCTGGATGCGTCCCTGCTGGCAAGGTTCCTCCAAACTCTTCCTTGTAGGTGGCCCTTCCAGCACTTCCTTCCTGTGCTGGGACCTTGCTCTCTCAGGCCCCTGGCAACTGGCCTTGATGTGCTCAGGAGGGCCTTCCTCAGCTTGCAGCCCCAAGTGGTTTCTGTCCTGGAAACCCTGGCTGCTTTCCCTCCTCCAGGGAGGGTCCTGGGACTGTGGGGGATTCCTCTGGGTTCTTTTTTACAAAGCTTCAGCAAACAAGTGAAGTTGCTTGCAAACTGTTTCCACTCTGGTGGGTCTCATTGGCTGCCCTACCTCTTGGTGTCTCTGGGCCTCTTCTACTAAGGTCCCCACAGAGGGCTGGGCCCCTGGCCCAAGCCATCCTTCCAGCCTAACCCATTACCACTGATGGACGGCCACCAGCAGGCTGTGACACACAAGGATAAAAGCTGTTCTCAGATGCATCCTGCTCTCCATAGTTACACAATGGGAGCAGACCCCTTCCTCTCCATGGCATGCTCTCAAGCCTGGCTCTCCATTTTGGTACCCTATCACCCTAAAGTTTCTAGAGAATACTGATGCCTGCTCCACTCTGGATTGACAGAATCAGAATTTCAGAGGAGCATAGGGAGGTAAAGTTCTTCAAGTAATTCTAAGAAGTGTTGAGGACCGTAAGCCCTTGCTTCAGAGAAAGAATACTGCTCAGCTCTGCCTCCTCGGTTGCCCCAGCCCTTAAATTTCCTCCTCGTGAGGCTCAGTTTCCCAGCTTCTCTTCAATCTTGTTACCGTGCACTTTTGCATCCCTCAGCTGGTCAATATCACTCGAGAAATATGACTTCTCCACTGAACTGGGCTGTCTAGGACAAGAAGACCAGCCCTCCTTTGCTCGGGATGCTACTCCTCTGGTAATATGATTATGAGTCAAACAAGCCCTTTCTATTCACGGTCCTCATACATAAGGCCAGCCAGCCTCTCCATTTTTCTCCTTTGCTTCCAGTAACCTTTGAAGGCCCATTTAAGTAGATTGAAAAGTTACTTCAATGGACACATTCATTAGGTTCCAGCTGGACTCTGGGCAAGGTTCTGCATTATTGCTGACTTCTGTCTCAACAGGTCTGTCCTGAGGTTGTCTGCTCTCTTCATCTCTGCTTTGGAATGTTTATAATAGACATCTAACTCCCAATCACTGACACCCGCTCCTCTTAAATGTAAATATCAGATTCCATTAAAAGAGCATTAGCATTGGGGCACCTGTAATTAATTTTCTTGGGAGAATGAATGGTTCAGAAGGAATGCAACCGAGCAGGGCCTCACACATGGCTCAGTTCATTTATCCTAATTGATTTACATAAGACTCGTGGGGGCACTGGGACTTGCACCCACTGACTGAGGGTGGGGGTGCCACATGGGCCCCTGGAGTTGGGGAAGGCAGCAAGACGGATCGCTGGAGCTGAGGCCAGCGGGCACTGATCACAAACAACATAATGGGCCAGCCTCGGAGGTGGGCCGGCCCTGGAAGCTTTTAGAGGCTCTCAGCAGCCCTTGTAGTGCACCCAGATTACACACTGAGCTATTTCACATCATTAAACCCTCCTATCTCATCCCTGGGTACCACACATGCTCTCAGCATCAGGCTGGGCTTCAAAGCAAGAGTAGCCACTGCAGCAAGCTGACCCTGGGATGCTGAGTCCCATTGGCAGGTGTTTGTTTACTTGCTGGCCTCACAGACATGAGAGGACTCAACATCTGCTTAGCCTGTCTGTTTGGGTTCCTGCTGTTGTTGGACCGGAGGCTGGGGGTGGGTATCACTGGTCTCCTAGACTCCTCAGAGGCTCCAGCGCCACAGTCTCCCTCCCTCTGCTCTGGCCTCAAAACCACACTTCCTCATCTGCCTGCCATCCCTGGGCACTAGGAATGGTCCCCCAGTGCTGGACCAGCCTGGCTATGTTTGACCCTGTATTCTTCTCTTGAATGAAGCAGGAACTAGGTACCAAGAAAGCAAAACAGATGATCAGGGACAGACTCTGGACCTGTGACACTATTTCTGGCCTCTTGGATTTCTGATTTTTACTCAGTGCTGTAGAACAATGATGATCCTCTCAAACCCCCCGCCCCTTTTTTTTTCAGCAGGATGTCTCACATAGCCTGGATTGGCTTTGAAGTTACTATGTAGTTAAGGATGACCTAGAACTTCTGATCCTCCTGCCTCTTCTTTTCAAGTGCTGGGATTACAGATGTGTGTTACCACACCTGGTTTATGTGACACTGGGGATAGCCCTGGTTTTTTTGTATGCTAGGCCAACACTTTATCAACTGAGTCTCATCTCCAGCTCTCATCTGCTCATCTCCTGAATTCCAGTCTGAGGTTTTCTCTGATGTCCATGCTTCTCCCTCTGAACTCCCACCATCTGGCACCTGTACTTTACCTCCTCTGCCTCCAGGCTCCAGCACAGCCAGGCCTCCATTTTTCCAGCCTTCATCATGCCCACCTCCTCTCTGAACCTGCCTCTGGCTGACTGGAGCTGGCTGCAGCTGGCTGGAGTCTGGCCTGAAGTTCCCACACAGGCCCCTGTCTCCCTCCCTCAGTGGTATGCTACTGTCCTCCACAGGTTTCCTAGCTGCTCCACCAGGACCTGGCTGGAAACAGTCCTCATCTGTTCTACCCATCCCATCTGTCCAGAGCACTCACTCACTCAGTCCTGATCCAGCCCTTGCAAGCTGTGTCTCTGTCCTCAGGGCTGAATCCTGTTCCCATGTCCCTGGCAAAAGCTTATGAACCAAAGAAGTCGTGATGTTTCCCATCTTCCAGGTGGGGCAGACTCTTGGGTGGTGCACTAAGGACACCACTCTGGGAATCTGGAAATTCCACATTCTGGTTTTGTTCCTCCGTCTTCTGTCTGTCATGGTCCTAACTTCTAGGAAGGCTACAGACTGGGGCATATCTTCAGGCTCCTTAGCTTGTGCCTGTGTGGCCTTGGGTAACTCCCTTCCTTCCTTTCTCTGAGTTTCCAGATTCCTTATCTGAGATGAGGGGGTTGAGGATAATGATTCCCAGGGGTCCTTTTACCTTTGAAATAAAATTGAAAACAAGAGGCCCTGAAGATAAGGGGGATTATTATGGTGGCCAAATCAAGCTATTCCTCTTCTCCCCTCTGCCCGAGGCTGCGACAGCATGCGGGGTTTGGCACTAGAGTCACAGAAAACTCTCAGCACAAGGGCCCTGGGCTCTCACCTTTGGAAAACGGTGCAATTTAATGGTAATGCAATTACAGATGTGCTGAGATTGAAACGGCCCATCTTATCTCAAACTCATCTTCCCCACCAAGTATCAGGGCAGGTGCTGATCCCTAATAGCTGCTGAAATGGATTCACCAGGCAGCTGGGGGCTCCTGGAGAGGAGAGCTGTGTGCAGAGAGAGGAGGGAAGAGGGAGGCAGCTGGAAGGAAGGAGGAAGAGAGCAGGGAGAGCGAGAGAG